GAAGCATTCAGGTTGCGATGGTGTTGCTCTAGCCCTGACAGTCTTAAAAATGGAGCAAAAAAAGTTTTATAGGCAGAAGAATATTGTCCGTTATTAATGCTTCATGGAGCCCAGGGAAGTTTGCCTTTCTAGGCCAGTTGTGTTATTTTCTAAATACCATCAGATCATTGTTGCTCCTAGACCTTCTATAGCTGCGAGAAACTCCTGTTGAAATAATAGAGTATTGGCCTGCTTTTCTTTTAAACAGTTTGTCAGGAATGTTAAGTCTCATGTGTTTAATATAGCATATTTATTAAACCTGGTATTCAGCAGCTATGTCCACATACTGAAAAATAGTGCTAAAGACTACAATCGGGAAACAGTCTCATTCTTGATGATTTATTGTTCTATAATGAGAAGTGTAAGTAAATAAGATATAGCGCTGGTACTGCCAAATGTGAAAGTTCAGTAATTATACATAAACAGTTTCTTGAACGCTGTCTTGTTTTACTGTTTTATTGTACAGAACAGTTGAAAAATAGATTTGATGAATGTTTACATTATAGAAGTAATTTACTTAGTTCATAACAATTTTATAACCATTTGTTAATTTTTCAGCTCTGCTAGGTTTGAAGGTTCCCTTAACATGGATCTTAATGAAATCAGCATGAATTTGGTTCCATTTCCTAGACTTCATTATTTGGTTTCAAGCTTAACTCCTCTGTATACATTGGCTGATGTTAATGTACCTTCTAGAAGGTAAGAAAAAAATATTATGAAAGCTCTAGATTTGAAGCTTAATTTCTGATTCTACCATAGTTTTAATTTTTAAAAAATGCCGTTCTATAGCAAAACTAAGGCTAGAAGTTTTCTTTCTAGAAGTCTTAAGTCTGCCACAATTTCAAATTTGTTCTTCTGATTTCAGGAACATCTTTTGTCCCTTTTCTCTGTAATGGTCGAGCCAGTAAACTTGAAATGTATTTTTGTTATCTCTGCTGGGAAATGTTTCTGTTGGAAAAATGTATTACTTAGAACCCACATTTTTTAATAGGCAGTTTGTAGTGGAGGTGATCTATAAAAAGAAAAAATAGAGATGATAGATGCAGAGAGTTTGGAATGAATAGAAAGACTAGTTTAGATAGTTATGCCTGTATAAAAATGGAAAAATGGGTCTGGTGTGTTTTTAAAAACTTGTAAAGCCAACATATGGACGTATAAAGGTATAAATCTTTTTCCTGTTGTTCACAGTCCCAGATTAAAAGTACCTTTATCTTCAGAATTTTATGAACTTGAACTTTTAAACCCTGAAGGTGGGCATACTGAAGCACTTGTGTAGTCTGCTTTAGTAAGAGTAGGTAACTGTTTTCTTTTCCCCTAGGTTGGATCAGATGTTTTCAGACGCTTTTAGTAGAGATCATCAACTAATTCAAGCAGATCCAAAGCACAGCCTCTACCTTGCCTGTGCCCTTCTCCTTCGAGGAAACGTGCAGGTTTCAGACCTTCGCAGAAATATTGAAAGGTTTGTAATACCACACAAACTAGTCATGGGCTTTATTGAAATTGTTGTCAGTTGTCCAGAGCACACTCGCTTTTCATTTGAAGAATTTTCATACCAAATCAGTTTACTGAGAAATATTTCTTTTTATTTCAGAAGGGAAGATATTGTAATTAATTTACATTGTAAGTTAGAATAAGTCACAGCATTCTTGGATTTCCAAATAAAGTGAGCCGGCTAGGTGTCCTTGTGCCACTCCTCTCATTCTCAGAAATGCAAAAGAAAGCAAAGCCTGATGTTCCTGCCAGTGAAGGATTTTGGAGGAATAAATTCATAGGAGAAGTTTGTTTTTACAGAACAGAATGCCCCTCTCTGTCACGGTTACTTTCACATACATAGGGAATCATCCTTATTCTAACAACTCTGTTGTTGACACTCTGCTTCTACCTCTTACACTATTGATCTGTATAGTTACAACAGGAAAGGCAGGCAAACTTTGTGCACAGAATGGAGTTTACAGACAGACAGTGGTGCGTGGGGAAACTTCTGAGAATCTAAAGCATTTTAGTTGTTTCTAAACTACAGTTAGACTCACTGTCCCCACACAGTAATAATTTGCTCCTCTCCTAAGTCTCAGAGTGCTTGCAGTCCCTTTTATGTAAATAGCTGTTTGTAACTTTACTTTGCAAACCCTGATACATTAAATTAACAAAATAAAATTGGTGTTTGCAATTTAAATTTAAAATAGACCCAGTGTTTTGCTCTGAAATCTAAAATAACCTATTCAAAATTATACTTAGAACTGGCTTGCTTAGTTCTGAAAGCTTAAATGTTAACCTTTTCAGACTGTTTGTTAGCAAAGGAAACTTAAGCTTCTTGTTCTTTACATCCCTTAGGCAACTAAACTTTTGTATCACAGGTTGAAGCCTTCCCTGCATTTTGTCTCCTGGAACCAAGAGGGCTGGAAAACTGGTTTGTGTTCGGTACCTCCTGTGGGTCATTCCCATTCCCTTCTGGCTTTAGCAAACAACACCTGCGTAAAACCAACTTTCATTGAACTCAAAGAAAAATTTATGAAGCTTTACAAGAAAAAGGTACAACTCTTGTCATTATAACATCTTTAGCCACTAATCATTAGCATCTTTCTTTACTGGGAAGCAAATCTTAGTATCACCAAGGGACTGCTTAAAAGTAACAGCCCTTTTTAATTTGTGTTACCTGTCAAGGAATCATTCTAACAGCTGCTGCTTTAAAAGTGTAAACCCCGTATTAATCTGTACCTACTGGCAAAGTACTTTCTTCAGCAGTGAAGCAGTGTCTGACAGATCTGCCTACCATTTGGTGTTAGGTTAACTTTGGCTGGCCACCAGGTGTCCACCAAGCTGTTCTCTCACTTCTCTTCCTCGGCAGAATGGGGGGAGAAAGAACGATGAAAATCTTGTGGGTCAAGATAAGGACAGGGAGATCACTCACCAGTTACTGTCATGGGCAAAACAGACTTGACTTGAAGAATATCAAATTAATTTATTGCCAGTTAACGACAACGTAGGATAGCAAGAAGTAAAACTAGAACTGAGAACACCTTCACTCACTCTTCATCCCAGGCTGTTTCACTCCTGCTCTTTCTTCAGTGATCCTGGTGTCAACAGGGCTGTTTCTGTCACGTTTTCCTCACTCCTCTCACAGCTGTTGTGCAGCATTTTTTACCCCTCCTTAAATCCACTATCACAGAGGCACGACCAGCATCGCTGGTGGGCTCAGCTTTGGCCAGCAGCAGGTCTGGAACTATTGGAGCTGTGTCCAACATGGGGGCAGCTCCTGGTGTCTTCTCATCAAAGCCACTCATGCAGCCCCCTGCTCCCCCCTGCTGCCAAACCCTTGCCACAACCCAGTACACAGTTTGGTCAGGTGTACCCGAGGAGACAGAATATGAAAGGATGGATGTGTAGGAAATCAGTAATATCGACTGATTCCATAGGGGATTGTTACTGAAGTTGCCAAGTGTTTAAACAACGGGTGTCATCATGTAAGTGGTTAAATCTACTTTCTACAGTGCTTGCAGTGCTCCCCTCTTCAGAGCAGGCTAAATGGTACTTGTGGAGCCAAAGGAATTAGGTGCCAAGAAAAAGGATAACACTTATTTTTTAATTTCTTTTTTATTCTCACAGGCTCACCTTCACCATTATCTGCATATAGAGGGGATGGAGCAAAGCTGTTTTTCTGAAGCCATATCATCTTTGTCTGATCTAATAGAAGAGTACAATGAACTGGATGCAACAAAAGATGGGCCTAGGACAGATCCATCAAGACTGAAGATAGCTGTTTAAAGAAGGCAGAACTGATTTTTTTTTATAAACAAATAATAATACCCCCAAGCATCCAGCCACTTCATTTAAGCAGAATGAGTTGCGTGGTGCCCAGTTATTGTAATTCCACAGGGAGACTGGGACAATGGCTTCCTCAGCTCCGAGGGGTGTCATATTAAGTGACAGGCCCAGCCTGTAAGGAAGATTGGAAGGCAGCTAATTATGGTGGATATCAGTAAGAGCAGTCTTCATAACTGTAGAGTAAATTGGCACACCGTATGCTGTACAGAGAAGAAAGAGACGTTGTAGCAGCCAAAAATGTAGTTCTTTTCTCAGACTTTCAGCTTATGGTAAACTAAAGGCAGGCCTTGCTTCAAAGAAGAATCACCATTGCGGGATTTGTTTTCTAACAAGTAACTATGAAGAGAAGAGAAGCCCGCACGGTCTTCTCAGAGATGAAAGCAAGTCTCTGATGAAACTGGTTTCTTAAACTTGACAGGGTAGTAGACATTTCCGAATGCTCTAAGCTGTGTTCACAGTCTTAATATTTTTGCTTACATGTTGTACTTAGCTGTATTAGAGCATTCTGAATTGACATCAGAATGGGCAATATCAGAAAATTCAACAAAATAAATTTTGGATTAAGTATTAGATTTGGAGTATTAATTAATATATTATTTTAATGATTCGTATTCATGAATGCTGAGTTGCACTTGATAATGAAATAGTACAATATACCTCTGAGTGAAACATGCACTTATAATGAAGTTATAATGACTGTTTGGAGAACAAAGTTTCTATGCTTAAAAGAATGCAAGTAAAATAGATGTTTTAATTTATAATTACCAGGGTAAGTAGAGTTTTATATTACAGTAAGCACTTTTACAAAACAGAATGTACAGCTATTTCCAGTTGTTTGCCAGCCTTGGCTGTCTTAGAACAGCAAGAGGGGTGAACTGTTACAAATCAGACTCGATCAATACAATGATTTCTTAAAGCTTGAAGTCCTTCCAGCAGAGTTGGGGGTGGGTGTGTAAGCAAGCACAATTTTGAATGTATACATCCAGAAATAGTCAATAAAACATTGTGATAACATTTGTTGAGAGCGTTTTTTTTTTTTAAATCTAAAAATAGTCATTTCCTTGAAATTTTGCATCTATTATCTGCGGGTGCCCACTTATTTGTTCCTTTACAAGTGCATTGTTTATATTCACAACACTAGAGAAAGATTACCTGCTGCAAAAAGCAATCTGAGCTTAAAATTGACTTCTGTTTGAAGCAGCATTGATGTGTTTTACTATTGCAGATACATAGGAGAAAATGTGCATCTGAGAATCTAGAATGATAGATGAAGTATTACTGGATAGTTAGAACATCTGTGAATTGACATGTATTTGTTTTTGTGGGCAACAATTAGTTACAGTGCAGCTGTCTGGCTATGCCTCTTTTAATTACTGAATGTTCTTGTTTTGACAATAGGAGTGTTATAATACATCCTTCTCAAGAATGTCTTTCTAGGCATAAAAACAATTACATTTAAAAAGATGTGCTCTCCCTTGCATTTTCCAGGTGCTATTTAAAAAATGAATATTCATCTACGTAGTGTCACTCTGAAGACTGCTGTGGCAGGGGGTTACGCTGACTCTCTGGGGGGGGAATGTGCTCTTTGCACCTTCGGTACATTACAGTCCGTGGTGTCACTTGTCATAGAACTTTGAGTTCAGAAAATATATCTCCCGGAGCACTGCAGATCCTCTGACAGACACACGACGTTATCCACATCATCTTCCACTTAAAGAAGCCTTCATTGGGACACTGGAACTGCACGGTGATCATTTTGGACTTATTAGGTACGCAGCACCTCCTGTCCAAGCACACCCCACAGAAGGTCAGTCTGTAGCTCTGGGTAGTTGAGCATCCCGAGAAAACGAGTTTCTCTGCTGCAGGAAGCTGGAAGGTCGGTTGGCATGTTTTTCCTTTTGGAATCTTTAAAGCCAAAGAAAAGCCTGAGTTTTTTTACACATTAAAACCATGGATTAAAATGCATGGAAAAAATGGCAACATTTACATAGAAATATCTGGAAAATTATTCCTGAAAGCTGTCCTATTTTTCTTTATCAGCCACCAAATAAAAAATATTTTGAGTGACTGAGCATCAGGACAGCACTAGCAGCACTTCAGAACGTTGTATTGTTTTGTTTGAGATTGCACATCTGCAGTTTACTATTGAAACCTGAAGGCTGAGTGTAGAGAACAGAGAAGAGTTGTTTTAAAATCCTTTAAAAGAGGAAAAAGTCATTTTAAATTAGAAGTTACTAACACATCTATTTTTCCCTTGCTTCCAATATTTTTATTTTCTATTATATTTATAATAATATAAAATAATAATTATATAAAATAATATTTCTATTATATTATTATATTTATATCAGGAAATACCTTTATCATCTTTGGGATATTGGTGAGACAAGGCTGGATTAAGCATAATCTCTGTTCTTTTTTCATTTCACACTTGGTGTTGTCGTTGGTCACGCGGCTGGAGATGCCGATGCCGCAGGTCCTGGAACAGGGCGTCCAGGGCGTCGCCTGCACCAGGCACTTCTTCTTCAAAACCAGGGGCAAGATTCTGTAAGCTGAGACACAGCCACATGTTATTTATGCAGCAGAACAGCCCCAAAAGGGTTGGTTGAAAATTAAAAGGATAAGCATTTGATTTCTGCTCATAAAGGTGCTTTGGTAGATAAATCTAGAAATGGGGCATAACCAGTGGGTACTGGGATCCCAGCAAGGACTAGGGAATCGCTGGTGTTCTACGAGCCTCCAGTTCAATATGATGGAAATGTTCTGTGGAGAGAGTTATTTGTGGAATTTTTATGAAATGCCCAGAATGGAAGATACACTTAAAATTATTTAAGGCCAAGCATAGCTTGAAAAGGGCTGCTGAAAACCTTAATGTTGATTTCTTTGCAGATACTGTGAAGGTGTTAGGTTTGTATCGAGGAGTTAAATTCTCCAGTCGCTTCTAGGTAGCACCAAAAAGCCTGTTTGCTGATGGATTAGGGCTGGATTAGATGGAGTACATTTTTAAAAAGAAACAAAATTGGAGTGTAAAAATTGATGGTGGAACTTTGGAAAAAAAAAAAAAAAAAAAAAAAAAACAAAAAAAAAAAAAAAAAAAACCCCGATTTTGGAACCCTGGGCTTTGTGGGAAGGGG